CGAGTTATTCAATCCATAATTTCTATTAGTCGATGTATTACTTAGGAATGTATGAATATTTAGATAATTCTTCGATTCCTTTTTTATCTTTAGGTTCTTCCATGACTATATCACTAACTGTTCTCTTTAATTGTTCATCACTAATTTTCATTTTCATAAAAGGATGATTAACGCAATCTTCAATGCTGTACCTTTCTTCTGGATCAACAACAAGCATATGTTTAATTAAGTCTTTTAATTCAAGACTCTTATTATCCCAAAAAGGACTTCTAAACTCAAATTTCCCAGCTAAAATATTATCAAATAACATTCTATTTCCATCATTCTCTCCTTCAACAAATGGTGGAAATCCACAAGCCATAACATACAATACAACTCCAGTACTCCAAACATCAACTTTACTTCCATTATAAGGTTTTCCACTAAGAATTTCTGGAGAAACATATAATGGAGTTCCACACATTGTTTTAGCAAGAGTTTCTGGGTTAATAATTCTACTTAATCCAAAATCAGTAATTTTAATTTCATCAGTACCTGATTTAACACACAATATATTTTCTGGTTTTAAGTCTCTGTGAATAATATTTTGTGAATGAAGATATTCTAAAGCAGAAAATATTTGTCTTATAATTATTCTACACTTTGCTTCAGTAAAGTGTGTTTCTGCAACTATTTGATCAAATAATTCTCCACCAGTAACTAATTCTATAACCATATAAAGATATTTTGTAGTTTGATATACTTCTTTTAATTTAATAATATTTGGATGGTCAAGTCGTTTTAATATTTCACATTCATCTAAAATAGCATTCTCTCTTTTACTTACTCCTTGTGCTTTTTGTAAATCAATCATTTTCATTGCATACACCTCTCCTGTTTGAATTTCTTTAACTTTTCGAACAACAGCAAAATTACCAACTCCACATAAATCTAAAAATTCGTATTTATCTTGAGGTCCTCCATCTACAAGTTCTTCATTTTTCTCTAAATAAGACTCAAACATATAAATTGCACATTTAGCTACTTTTTTGTCTAATAAAGTAATTTCATCATATGACCTAATAGTGACTGTTTTTCCTCTTCCTACTTTTTCTCCATTTACATATGTTCCATTAGTACTAGTGTCAGTAAGTAAATATTGTATTGGAGCTCCATCTGTAACTATTTTTTTAATAGAACAATGATTACCACTAATACATGCTTCATGTATTTTCGTTTTATGATTATTTCTACCTAATACTATCTATAATTTATTAATTAATTATTTTTTTTTTGTATTTTCTTACAAATAAAAACAAACAGTTTCATCATAAATTTCAAGACTTGGCAACCCTGGTGTAAAGCAAACTAGTCGACCCCAACTTGTCATGATTTTGTTTTATAAGATTACGAGTTTTAAGATTTGATTTTTCTTTCTTTTCCATTTTAAGATAGAAATTCTTTTTTTTCTTTTTTGTGCTTTTATTATTTTGGTTTAAGAAACAAACAACTTTTCTTGACTACCAAACTCTTTCTTGTGAGTATTTAATACATTAAAAAACTATAAGTTTCTTATTTAAATTGGAATGACCCATAACTTCTTAATTATGTTTGTTTATTATTATGTAACTTCTGTTTAAATTTAATTACCTTTAAAAAAAAAAATGAAAAAAATGAAAAACTAAAAAAAAACAATAAATTCAATAACAAAATAAATGGAACCTGAATATACAAAATATATCCTTGGTCAAGTTAATTCACAACAATACCAATCAAATTATAATAGTATTCCTCCTCATCTAACAATACAAAAAGAGTGTTATGCACATTCTGATTTAATAACATCATTGTTATTTTATCAATCAGGCAATTCATTTATTTCAACATGTTTGTTTATTTAATTAAACCATTTATTAATTTGAATTAAGAAAAACAAAACAATGTAATGAAATGTAGCAATGGATGGTTATGTTATGGATTGGGATACAGAATCTTTTGATTTTAAAAATGATTATTATATTGGACATACTGGACTAATTTATGGTACAACAGATGAAAATAATTATGTTGCTGTTATATGTGCTGATGGAAGTGTATCATTAATTGATAAACGATCAGTTTGTTTATATTATATTTATAATAAAGTTTATAAGAAAGTATAGTTTTAATTTATTTACAGGGGAAATATATTTGTATTGAAACACCTCGTAGAAAAGCAACTAAATGTTGTTTTTGTCAAAATGATTTAGTAATTGGATATAATGATGGAATTATTAAATTTTGGAATATTGCACAACAAAAATTTGGTGATACTATTGAACAACATCATAAAAGTATTACATCATTATCTTCAAAGAAAAATGAAATTATGTCAGCGTCAACAGAAGGAACAATTGGAATATGGGATGTAATAAAAAAAGAGAAAAGATATACATTTTCATTAGATAAATCAATAATGAATTGTAAATATGTTCCAAATGGGAAAATGTTATTATTATTAATGGAAACAGGAGATGCATTTTTTTATAAATTAGAAAATAATTCTAAGTCACAATACTTTTATGGATTTAATAAAATAAATCAAAATTCTCCATTTGACTTTCTTACAGATACAAGAGAAGGTCAATTTTTAAAAAAATTTATTGTTAATTCAGATGGTCTTAATTCTATTAATTTTTGGTCAGTAGAAACAATGAAATGTATTCAATCAATTCCAACTGATGATATTACTATAACTGCATTATCTTGTCATCCTACAGAAATGTTTTTTATTACAGGTGGTGATCTTTCTGATACGTCAATTAAATTATGGAAATAAACAATTTGAATGTATGTCTTTTTTTATTATTCTTTTGTTTTTTGTTTCTAATAAAAAGAAATTAAAAAAAAAAATTAATAATAATAAATTCTTTTAAGAAAGTAATCGTTAAATTAAATTAAACCAAATCCATTTGTATTGTTTAATGCAAACGTTAATTTCTTTTCTAATTCTTCTTTTGTTTCATATGGTGGCATTAAGAATAAATTATTACATGTACTAGAAGTTGGTAACCGTGACGCATCTCCATGCTTTGCTATAATAAACTGTAATCTTCCTAATCCTCCTGGTGGACATCTATCACTTCCAGTAGAAAAGAATAAGAATTTTTTCTTTAATTCTATTGAATATGAATGAAGAATTTCCCATAACCATTTAACAACAGGAGTGTCTTTTGTATATCCATTAGCATAACGTGTTGCATTTTCTAATTCATGAAAATCAAATGTATCACTTCCAGCAATTAATAATTCTAATTCATGTGGAGAAAATATTGTTAATAATCTACTATTAAAGACTAATTTAAATCCTGAAATAAATGCATTAAATTGTTTTTCAATAGAAGTATTTAATATATAATCTGTTAATAGTTGAACAAATTCTTTTTTATTTTCTTTTGTTACTGGAATATAACCACCATTTGGTTTTAAATCTATTACTTTTACTTCTCCATTAATTTCTTGTGTATGTTGAAATGTTAATCCCATTGTTTCTTCCATATCATCTCCTTCATATTTTAATATAAATTCAAGACTATGAAACATTTCTGGTTGAATTTCTTCTAAGTCTTTCATTTGAAGATTTATTCCAAGTATTTTTTTATATACTACAATTGGTAATTTAGCATCTAATATTATTCCATTATAAATAGCAAGTCCAAATAATGTTCCAATTAATTTATAATCATTTAATTGTTGTGAACCAGCATTAAACCAACATATTCTTGTTTTATCATTATAAACAAACATTGTATTATTTGGACTAAATATTTCTCTTGTTACTAATTGGAACCATTCTTTACTAACTCCTCCATGATCTAATCCTTCTTCTCCAATAAATTTTACTTTTAATGGTTTTTTTAAATCAACAATATTTGCTTCAACTAATTGATTTAATGAATCTTCTAATACATGATCTCTTCTAACTTGAATATTTAAATTTAATTTTTGTTCTTCACCACGAGTAATTGATTCTGTAAAAGCTTGTACAGTAGATTGTCCTCTTTCTTGTTTAGCTTCTTTATGTAAAAATTTCATTTTATAATCTACTGGAATAATAAAAGGAAAATATAATAATGATGTACTTTTATTTGAATAAAAGTATTGAATATCTCGTGGGAATTGTCGTTGTGTTGCAAGTACTTCATTATAAAATTTATTTTCATCGACAAATCGTTTCTCATCATTTATAGAATAAAATGTTTTTAATAAAGTTAATACTTTAAATAAAATTTCTTCATCATGTACAGTATTTTTCTTTAATATTACTCTTAAACTAATAAATTGTTCAATATTTCCTAATACACATAAAAATTGTTTTGGTGTCATTTTCTTTAAAAATACTTGAAGTTCTACTATAAATGATGACAATTTTTGTATTGTTGAACAAAATTCTCCCATTTCATCATTTTCTGCAAAAATTGGACTTGCTAATGTAACAATAATACTTTGAATATTAATTGGTTTTATTTTAACAATCTCTAATATTTTAAGGTGTGCACTTAATACACTTTGATATAATGATGGTTGGAATTTGAAAATATAATCAATTAACTCCCACCCCTTAACTACATCAAATACTCCTTCTTCAACAAATGATTCTATAATACTTTCTGGTGTTGAATAAAGTTCATATAATAATGTTTCTAATCTATCATTTGTTTGTTCTTTTAATGATAAAAATCGTTGCAATGAACAACGTAATGTACATAATGGTGTTTTATTTGTTTCCAACTGTTGTGCTTCCTCTTCAATATTCAAAGGAGAAACAAATGATGAAGATGATTTACAATATTTATTATTGCATTGATCATTACCACATCCAAAACATATTCTGTTGATATAATATTTTTTATTTGTTATTTGAGGTGTTTCCATAAGTAATTAATGAAATAAAAAGAACTTTATATGAAGTTTTTCCATTTTTCCCGAAAATAAAAGAAAATCTTAAAATAAGATATAAAAAAAAAAGATTGAAACAAGAATCAATAAGAAAGTATACATTGTTCTTTCCATTGTTTCTATACATATTAATAAATTAACTATATTTTTTATTAAAAAATTTCATAAAAAAAACATTAACAAACAATGGAAGAAAGAGAATGTCCTTTAAAAGAAAATGGATGTTTTTGAAGAATATTTAATTGTTGAACAACACTCATTCCATCTGAGTCATAATTTTGAATTAAACTATCTAATAAGCTTCTTCTAGAATTATTTGAAATTTTTGTTTTTCCATATGATTTACTATTAGTTGATTTTCGAGAAAGTTGTTCATCACTTTCATAGTTTGGACGTACAAGTTGGTCTAAATTAAGTGATATTATAGGTTGACGTTCTTGTGGTAGAATGTCATCTGATTGAATAGTGTTAATAGGTATATTTTTTCGAGGTTGAACATAGTCTGATTCTATTACTATAGGATTGTCTTTCAGAGGACGAGTAATTTTTACGTTTGAAGACATTGTTTTGCTTCTTGGGCGTGACATATTTATTAAAGTGTCTATGATAATTAGATTTCTTATCAAATCTAAAAAACAATTCATAGAACTCAAAAAATAGTGCAACAATATCTTTATTATCATAAATATTCCTTTAATAAAATATACTTTCAACCTTTACATTTTTTATTGTCATTAAAAATATAATTGAAAGTTTTTTATACCTTTTATTTATCTCTTTATATTATCATACTAATGGCATTGTTTTTTTAATAAAGAGAAACTAAAACCTTACCAAAAAAGATGTTTCTCTTTTAAATATAATATAAAATGAGTACATCGAAAAATAAATATTTTATAATTCCTTTCTTCAATGACCAAATAGATGAATTTTTATAATCTAATACCTTGTTTCAACTAATATTATTAGATATAAGATTAAAAACATTACCATTTATAATGAATTGATTAATAATAATAGAAATTAATTATTTTTATTTAGACACCTAAATATATCGTTGTCTTATTTACAACTTATTCGTTAATAATTGTAATAACTGACTAGAAGTTGACATACAAATAGTTTAACTAAAAATAAAGATAAATTTATGACAATGACTTGAATGAAAATATTTCTCTATTTCATACCATTTTATTCGTTGAATAGATAAGAATAAAATAATATAAACAACAACTACAAACCAACAAAATGACAAAAAATTCAAATTAAATAAATATTCAAAATGGAAGAATGAAAATAAAGAAATATAAGAAGAGTATTTAACACTGATATAAAGATGCATAAGAATGTTGCTTATATAGACAATATAATGTCAAAGAAATGGTTAAGAAAATCAAGAAATAGAATAGATAAAATAAATAACAAATATACTGATAAGAGAATGAGATTATAAATGATAATAAAAATGAGCTATGTATTGAATAAAGAAAGAGTATTAAACAGAAATGAAAATAAACATAATGTTATAAATAATAAACAAGTATTGAGAAATGAAAGAAATAGAAAATAAAACAAGAAAGAATAAATGAAAGAAAAGGTAAATCGAAATTCAAAAAATAAAGAAGCATAAAAAACAAGAAATAAAAAGCAATTAATTAAGTATTAAATAGAATTAATTTCTATTGTAAATGGATTAGGGGAAACTAATCTCGTCCCTTCGTCTACATCTTCTTCTAGCAG